CAGTGACAAGTATCACACAGTGACAAGTATCACACACACAGTGACAAGTATCACACACACAGTGACAAGTATCACACAGTGACAAGTATCACACACACAATGACAAGTATCACACACAGTGACAAGTATCACACAGTGACAAGTATCACACAAACAGAGACAAGTATCACACAGAGACAAGTATCACACACACAGTGACAAGTATCACACAAACAATGACAAGTATCACACAAGCAGAGACAAGTATCACACACACAGTGACAAGTATCACACAGTGACAAGTATCACACACACAGTGACAAGTATCACACACACAGTGTTAAGTATCACACAGTGACAAGTATCACACACACAATGACAAGTATCACACACAGTGACAAGTATCACACAGTGACAAGTATCACACATACAGTGACAAGTATCACACACACATAGACAAGTATCACACACACAGTGACAAGTATCACACAAACAGTGACAAGTATCACACACACAGTGACAAGTATCACACACACAGTGTTAAGTATCACACAGTGACAAGTATCACACAGTGACAAGTATCACACACACAGTGACAAGTATCACACACACATAGACAAGTATCACACACACAGTGACAAGTATCACACAAACAGTGACAAGTATCACACACACACAGACAAGTATCACACACACAGTGACAAGTACCACACACACAGAGACAAGTATCACACACAGACAGAGACAAGTATCACACAGTGACAAGTATCACACTCACAGTGACAAGTATCACACTCACAGTGACAAGTATCACACACACAGTGACAAGTATCACGCAAGCAGAGACATGCTATATTATATAATAGGTCTTTTCTTCACTATGATGTTCTTAGTGGGTATAAATGCAACACTTCATTCACTCCATTTTTTTCTGTTAATATAACGTTTTATATATATTGTAAAATCATGTCCGTCACATTAGAATACTGTTATTACGAAATATATACATTTGTGGATTGATGAAGATAATGGGAAATTAGCGGTAACCATAGTGATCTCAATAAGTGTTCATCTGATCTAATCTTTTCGGAGTCTCTTCGTGATTTCTTCTTTTGTTTAAGTTTTGCCATAGTTTCATGGAATTTGCATTTGAGTTATATTCTGTTGACATGTCACTATTTTCTCTGTTATTGTTGTTCCTAACATAGAATAAATGTCAAACTTTACATTGATACTCATTTGTACTTCTACACACCAAGTCTTTATATGACGAGTAGCACGGGTTCAGATGATTAACCGATATCAATCTTAGTTTCAAATGATTCCATACAGGACGTTTTCTTAAGTTACTTTGTATAATGGCGTATAATGACGTTTCCCTATTATTTCGCATATACTGTATTCACAACTTAATTAATATTTTAAAAGATTCTACACACGAAACAAAACAAACAAGAAAATTGTATTTTTGTAATTCTATTTATTGTCGTAAATAGTCAATAATACATAAACAAGTCAAAGTGAATAACTGATGAAATTCACAAAAAACTTCGACGGAATGGTATGGGTAAATTATTCAAACTTACATATAACTAACAAAGATAACAGGATATTACCTTGTCATACGACAGATAAACACCAATGGGGAACTGACCAATCAAACATACAGATGTTAATTAAAATCAAAGATACTGACCAATCACGAGTGCAGTGATATTAACAGTCTATGAAACTGACCAATCAAGTCAATTGTGACACAAGGTAACAAAAACGTAACAACCATGTGTCAGGTGACATGTCATGTGATAAAAATGACCAATCAAAATGACAGAGAGAAAATATGAGTAACAGATAGGTAAAATTTAAAGAACGCCTGAAAGATGGCGACAAAGGCTCAAGAACTCGAGATATTCTATAGAAACACATATATATACACTCATAAATCGCATCCGTGCTAATAACAGAGTAATTATGATGATATATCGTCAAATAATTGTCGTGAAAAAATAAAATTTAAAATCGTTAAGAATAAGTAAAAACTGGTCAATAAAATACAAATTCAGCGAATAAATGAAGAGTATTCATGAGATTTTAGAAACACTATGTAAATACCCTGTAATTGACAAAACAGTGAGAAAAGAAATATATTCAAAATACATTTACAGTGATTTTTCATACATCATCCATGTTTTGATATGAATCTTAATATAATCTATTTCAAATGGTATAATTTGCAATGACATCTTTTCATATAAAGACATTGGAAATGAAATAAAACATTACTTAACGAGACACTACTTAAGCGCTTAACGAGGCATAAGAAATGCATTCGTTGCCTGGTAAACGAATTTAGTTCGTTTGCAAAACCCACATTTCTGTTATAACATGTGAACTCTTAACATAACTCTTAAAATACTTCAATATAACGCATGTGGATAAAAGCCTAAATACGGTGCTTGACGTCTCAGAGAAAAAGAATCTGTTGATAGTATCAATTGTCAGAATTAAATTGATGTTCGAAAAAAAATGTAACATAATGTAACTTATTTACATAAATAATTATCACACATCGCTAGGAGCTCTCAGGATACAAACGACACAAAGCACAACAAGTCTGTACAATGCATACGCATTCTGTGCTTTAGAATAATAAATAAATACTAGTACAAATCAATCACAGTTTAAGTTACGCTGATACTTTTTTTCACAATGACCTATGCGGCTTCTTATTCACAATGACATAAGCGGCATCCTAAATTTGCTGTTTGACGAGAAAATATTATGCATACATGTATATATGTTAAAGGTCAACTAACTTTCTGCCTTCGACAATCTTAAAACAGCTGTGAAACACTCTATATGCTAACACTACACAAAAAAGTCCTCTTTCGGATACGACTGAACCTTTCTGTATAAACGATACCGGGCATTACCGGAATCATTCAACAAATAATGTCCAATTCGGGATGTTAATCCAGAACATTGAAAGGCAAGACCAGCTAACGAAGTCTGGGCTAAAATATATCAGTGTAACTCGTAGACTTAAAATAAACAATACAAGAATATCTAATATTGTCATGCCAACTCATTGATTATAATTTAGAATGTATGCACCTGATAAAGTTTAATATTTGAAAATAACTGTAGTGGATTATCTCGGGTAGATTTTATTGTTATATAAAGCGTTATAATAAAAACTGTAAAGGTATCATGTTCCTTTGACCTTACAGTCAATTCCAGTTAAGGAAAATGACGTGCTATATATAAGCGAAATTGATTTATCACGTACATTTTTGTGATAACATTAATTGTTTTTGGAAACTATTTTAATTATGGATTATGATACTGCCTGCATGTTGGTATTTTCTTGATTTTTTGTCATTATTTAATCCAAGCAAGGAATAATTACCAGAATACATTGTTTATCAGTCAATATTTTAGCACATTCATGTAAAGGTTTAAATTCAGGTTAGGTTGCGTTGTTGTCAGGGTAAATGTGTTAGCGTAACCCAACTATAAGTAGCGTTGTTTGGTGAATCTAAGCATAGATGTACATCCCAGCTAGCGAAAACAACGTCCCACCAATCACCTGTTGTATGAAAACACTTAATCATAGCAGCATATGTGACTTTTGACAACGCTACTTGGCTGTTGTTTAAATGGGTGCATCAACACACGATATCCTTGCACTGAAGACTGTTGCTTTTTTCTGTTGACATACTGTGGTACTTAAACATACGGCAATAATTTGTGTTCTCTTGTCCTTTCATCAACCGACTCTGATATCACGAGTAAACGTTTTCTTGTCTTCGAGTTTCCTCAACTGCAGTTCTCTCATGTGATTTGCCCTATAGTTTTATCACTAAAATATATCCTCCTAGGTGTAACGTTGATGTATCGACTATAGCATATCCTTTTAAGAGTAATGTTGATGTGTCCGATATTTTTGCCACTAAAGTATATCCTCCCAAGAGAATCGTTGATGTGTCCGATAGTTTTACCACTAAAGTATATCCTCCCAAGAGAATCGTTGATGTGTCCGATAGTTTTACCACTAAAGTATATCCTCCCAAGAGAATCGTTGATGTGTCCGATAGTTTTACCACTAAAGTATATCCTCCCAAGAGAATCGTTGATGTGTCCGATAGTTTTACCACTAAAGTATATCCTCCTAAGAGAATCGTTGATATGTCCGATAGTTTTACCACTAAAGTATATCCCCTAAGAGTAACGATGACAAGTCAGTCCATTTCTTTTCCCAATGAAGTGATGTAACGTTGTGTTGTATCTATACAATACCCGTAAATGTGTTATGTGTACATGTCAATTAGTTTAAATACAATAACACATCTTTTCGGGTTTCCATCAGATCGATTGTTATTGGATGTCCGTCTCTTTGTGACGCTGATTCGTCCTATCAGTCAGAGCAGGAAATCAGATCATCCTATGTGTTACGTCCATTAGCCCATTTCCACATATCATATCCTCTTATGTGTAACAATGAATATCCTAAAGGTTTACTTCTAAAGGAAATCCTTTCAGATGTTCATTTCAACGTTCGGTTTACTTCGATAACATATCACTCTTGGAGTAACGTTTATTTATCCATCATATTAACACATATAGCGTATCCTTGGAGGGGTAACGTTGATTTATCATGTATTCTGCCGGTTTTACCTCTATATTAAGGTACAGTTGATAAGACAGACCGGTGTAGTATATTCTTCTGGTCAAAAGTTGATGTGTCCGTCACATTCACCACTATCTTTTACGTCTTAAGGTGTAACGTTGACTTGTCTGTTGAACTAACTGCATATTAGATAGCTAGGACAAACTAACTTGTTTGATAAGCACACACTTGATTAGTACTGTCACCAAACTGTATTTATGCCAATGTGTGTGACTCTGCGACATGCCTCAAGATGTAAACTGAAGACTTCCTTCTACGTCACGACCTTGATCAAAAGCAAGACTTCATGTAACGTATAGTGTATATAAATACATGCATGTCTTCATCGAGATCAAAGCATGTTTTCAGTCTCCTCCGGCTGATGGTCGATCGTTGGAGTATTCCAAGGACTTCCACGGCGTGCTCCATTGTTTTTAGGAGACAGATGACCGTTTGTTAGAACGATGCCCTCTTTGGGCGCTATGCTCGTGTCGTTTGCCCAGCCTATGGTAGATTTGGTATATCGAGCGCTAAGGGATCGCGACTCTTGGAATACACTGAATTTCTTTTTCAACACAGCTTTGACCTGTAAATGGTAATGAAAAGTTGAATTGTTAAAAAAAAAAAAAAAAAAAGATAATAAGAATAAAATTGTTAAAAATCCAGTGACGTCAACATACTTTATCAAAAATAATGACTAAACATGGATATACATCATAGTGAATAGCAAATAATTTACTTATTGATTTACACAGTATTTAAATGTATATGATTTATCTTCTTAACTATTGTCAATTCCGCTGATATATAAATATATGTATACACATATATATACATGTATAGATAGATAGACGATCTTACACAAGTGTCAATGTATTATGGAATTTATTAAATGAGTTCAATAATTGAACTAAATTAAATTTCAACAACCTTTAGGCAAGTGACATCAAATTATTTCACAAGTCTAAGGAATTCTACATCACATTGGCACTAGTGTAAGATTCTATTCATCATGCAATCCGTAATCATAAAACATAAACAAATTTCCCCTTTCAGACAGACTTATATCCACGCGGACGTTTTTATAGCACCAAGACAATTATGTGACGTCACAATAATATAATTTAATTTAACAGCTGTCTAACGATATGTACGAAATGACACAACAGCCAGTTATTCGCATTGAAAACATAAATACGAACAATAAAAAACAAACATCCAGATTAAATTTTACAAAATATCCCTTTTTTAATTGTATAAAAAGCATCTGTTACTTTGATGACATCTAGCTTTCACTCCAAGCAATCAAAAAACGTTTATATAATGTATAGAGATATTGACATATTAAACAACGGTTCAGAAAAATCGTGATGTATGTATTAACGAAAGAAAAGTCACAATATTAGTAAGGGATGTCATATATTTACCGAGATGTTGCTGATGGATAGTTCCGTAAATATGTTTAAACAATACATTCTAAAATGAATCTTTCTAAATTTAAGGCCATTGGTTTATTTCTTGCTGTGTTTATATCTCCACCTGAACAGTCAAGTTCTTTTTGAGGCTGGTCTACCAATACACATAATATATAAGTTTGATGTTACCTTACTGAACAACATACGGGAGGCAAGTACAGGCCATGTAAAGAAATTGGAGTAAATAGCATAAGGGTAAACAACCAAAAACAACACAGATTAGTTTGTTCCGTAGCTTCCTGAGAGACACAAATTGCCACGGTCAGGGGGAGTGTCTTTATTTGATACTACAAACGTCCTACCAACAGCGCTATTGCAGTGATACGACATCAATATCAGAGATGCAGTATGTTTTCTACGGAATTTTAATACATATTTACACTTCTATTATCCTGTTTCTAGCCTGCTGTTGCAAAAGTGATTTTCAAGAGTTTCAATTTTCCCCAATTTTTGATAATATATATATATATATATAATAATAATAAAAAAATATTAAGAAATAAAAACAAGATGGACAGAGAAATTCATAAGATTTTCATAAATCTGTGAAAATTTGAACCGCCGAATAAAAACTGTATACTGTATAAATTCTAATATGTATTGTTGGAAAAGCCGGAATATGAGGATGACATTATAAAGATGTTTTAGACCAACCTATAATCTTTGAACTAACTGCATTCGGTTTCAACTAATGAGACAAATGTTTATTATATAACGTACCTCTCCATTCAGGAAACAATAGAACAAAGCCACAAAGAAACCCTGGAAAGAGCAAATAAAGACAGTTATCATATATCAACGAAAGGCAGTTCCTTCTCATCAATTATACGAATGTATTTCATACCTGTGAAAAAAAGTAGTGTAAAATCATTAGAAGTCATGGTTCTATGTAATTTTTCTCCTTTTTGTTTAATTCATAAGTATTCATTTCACCATTTATAACGGAATTTTCGAAAATAAAATACAAAACAGTTACATGGATTTTAAGTATTGATAGATTTCTGCAGAAAATTCTGTCTGTGTCTTGGTCAACCAAGAAATTTTAGTGACACAAAAAAATCTGATTTAGCAGTACGTGTTATTGAACATGGAAACCACGGCAGAACCAATGTAACAATATATCATAATGTATTTGTCATTTTTCCTCTCGGACGTAAGTCATCAAATAAGATTTCTAGTTTACTAATTGTTCTGTGAATGGAAACAAAACCTTTATTAAAAAAAAATATTTTTGATAATAAACAGAAAAAGTTCACTCTCCATTTTGACTTTATCTCTAAACAGTGGTGTCATTGTATTTCCACTATATCAAGATATAATTTATCATTAATATTCAAATTCAAAATAATCGTTGAAGGGAATCTTGTCACCAACACTTTCATTCTCATTATTAAGAGCTACTTTTGATGATTTGTTTATATTGCCGTACATACCTGGAATGACTGTAACACGGCGTTGATAAATTCGTGGGCGTCGACGACGGCAGGTGCGTCGCTTAGAGGCCAAATAAAGATCACGTATATGATTCCCAGTAACGGGAACAGTAGAAGTGTAGCCTTAACAGCTTTCCTGTAAAATAAAACGTCACAATTACTTAAGAACACACATACGTGACTAAGTGATTGGCGTTATCAGAAAATGAAAAGCTACACATAGTCATCACGTTTATCAGTATCCTGGTTAGTAAACAACATAAGTCCATGTTATCTTTAACCACTATATTGAGTTTTGTAGTCACATTACATATTTTTTTATAATCCAGATACTTGTTATTCTGTTACAGAGATTTGTTTATTTTTCTCCCATAACGATGAATTTCAAAGTCAAGCGAAACAGCATAAAAACAAAAAGGTGTCAAATTCATTTGCTTTAAGGCTTAGAATACATCGTGAAATATCTGTATAAATAAAATGTATATTTTAGATTGGTTTTCTACCATATGTAGTCATACCGTAATTGCCGCGTCTCCAGACTATGTGAGGCTCTTAGTTTTGTCACCAAAACCCATATGATTGTGGCTAAGAAAAGCGTATTTGTCTGCAAGAGAAACATAGAAATACATTTCATTTCCTTTTTGGAACCTTTTATAACAGATAATTGAGATCGCTTGCATAAGCAAATACTTTTAGAAAAAAAAAAAAAAAAATATGAAAATAACTTTGCACAAGGTCTACAATGATACTTGTTTGTCTACTTACAGCAAGAACAAAGAGTATTGGCCCATTGTAAATCCAGTCAAGCTGGTCAACATGGGTAGCGCTACCATTTGTTGACATCCAGCAACTAAAACAATAAAAATTAAGAACTTTATATTACAAGATATCTACTAAAATTAAGAGTTTATTAAATAATCGAGCTAGTGCCCATTCCAATCTATATTTCTTTCTATCAGTTTTGAATCTTCTCAGTCACCCATTAGGTTTCATAATTTACATGTAGGCGCTTACCTAGAAGGACGAAGCAACGGTATAATGCAGTTTGATTCATGATTTTTGTTCTAATTCCTTTACACTAATTTTAAATATGTATCAAAAGTTGCTGTTCCTTTGTATACTCACCATTTACAAGGTGATATAATTATCCAAATGTTATGACATCACCATGTACGCTGCATGTCAGTTTAGTGTTTGACTATCAAAACGTTATATCAAAAGTTCGCATGTCACGTCAGAATGGTTCCCTCCAGTGTAATATGAGATGTCAAGGACGTACGCAATGCACCTTGCTAGGCTGGTGACCGATCATTACAGTGGAACTGGATTCATCAACACGGCACTTTGTTTCAAAAGTTACTTTTCAGCAGTGTCTATTTTGCAAAATCCTTATTCTACATCTTCACATTTCAACTCATTTGGATTTTCAGAAGATAACAAGACAGAACGTTTATATGTTTCATGTTGAATAATTTTATTGTCACATCAGCAGCCGTGACACTAACTTTCATCCACATAAATGGGAGTAATTGCTTACATAATCAATATGTACGTTCTCAGTGCAAGACAAACATATAAACGAAAAAATCTTCCATCCTAAACTCTTATTGGATAGCTATCCTGCTTCTCTGCATGTAATTTTCCTAAATTTCAAGGTGTGTAAAGATAATAATGTATCCTCAATATAATACACCATGCTAAAAATAGCACCAGCTGGGAAGAAATCCTGTTCGGTTACAAACATTTCGTTTTCATAAAACTGACTCTGTACTTACGTTAGTAAATGCGACGTTTCGTCTAAATTTTGTTGAAAATGGATCCGTAGTGAAATCCACACCGTTATTATAATGGCGGGTATACCTGTGAAATTCAATGGATAAGTATATAAGACATGTCATGTTTGTATAACTATGGATGAACGTTTTATTTTGTTAATGTTACGAGGACATAAATCCAGTGGAGAACAAGGTAGATTCGCGTTTACGAATAATTTACCCCACGCTCCATTGATAACGGATATTTGCAATATCTTCTATTAAGAAAAACGCCATTTAAATAGTCAGATACACTATTTATGTTCTTAATCTATGGTTATAATGATTTCGACGTCATATTAAGCCATATGAAACATTCATTCATAAAAAGTAAGCCCCTCCTATTTTCTCTGTGACAACAAAAATAAAACGTTCCAACATTTGAATTATTTTTTTCACATGAAATAATAAAATTTTCATAATCATTGTTACAGGTAATGGGATAAATCAATTTATGTTGATATGAAATAAAAGTATTGGAACAAATTAAAAGTCGACAATATTAATATCATTAGTTGATATTCAAGAAATAAACATAATTGCTTTACACAGAAACAGTGGTAATTGGAAATATCAATAAACACAAATTTCAGAAACCATAAGAAAATTCGTCTCATTTCAATATATCAAGAATCAATGTGAGGTCAGCGTTTAAAACGATAAGGTTGTGGGATCTGAGTATCAGATACAAAATAATCAATTGGTAAGTTTACAAATAGCAACATTTGGGTGTGGAAGTTAAGTCTTATCTAAAAATATGTATCACGTTAATAAAGAAGATGCGCTGGTGGATCTCTAGTAAAAAGGCAAATAGTATAAAACATCAGAAAATATGAAAATTAAGAAGGTTGAATGATCGCTAAAAAATAGTTGTAAATATTCTGAAAATGAGGGTGAGAATTAACTACTTTAAAATGTTCAATGCCTGAGCCAAGAGAATTTCACGTTGTCAGTTTACTGCTAAATCAAAAATAGTTTTTTAAGGCATAAGTTTAAGAACAGCTGTCACAAGAATGCTCACTAAGCCTGACCAGAATCAAGAACTTGAAACCTAAGGCGTTGTTGTGAAACTATTGAAAAATGACGATTTTTTTTTACCAAGATATCCAACGTATATTTACTAAAGTTAACTGGTGTAAAACCTATTTTGATGCACACATTTGTCTGCATTTTAACTCTTCTAAAACTTCTTACTTTATATTCGAAAAGATTGTCCAGAATTTTAATTTATGAGAGAAAAATAAAGTGTATCCGATAAATTTCAATTCCTTAGTTCATAGCTATATATTGTAAAATTTGTAATTTAATAGTTCAAGTTTTCGTATTCTCATTAAAACCTCGGGAAAATCAGTAACAAAAGTCATGTTAATGGACTTATTTTATCTATGAAATTTACTTTCAATGTTTTTTATTTTTCCGATTTTGCGTCATCCTCGAAAATCGCAAAGACAGATTACAACAAAAAGAACAAATAGTACATCAAAATTAATATGCAATAATTTGACATGAGAGTACCTACCCCAGCCAATCACCATAAAGTACCAAAGTTTGATTTTGTCCGCAGAGTACGTCCAGACAATAATGATATGTAGATACATGCCTTCCACTAACATCCAGAAGAAATTTGTCATCTGTACGTAGTTAAAGATGGATGTTTCTAGCTTACACGCCCACTGTGAATACAAAAGATGAAATAAGCTGAAGACTCTTTTAAAATGGAGTCGTCTACAACATTCCGTCGTTTGTTAAACAAGTCCTTTGCAAAAGGAATAATATTCTACACGTTGTGTTGGTTCAGAAATATAAAACAATTATCGGCAGGCGCTACGAAATTCTTAGAGCAGTCAAGCATTACAAAGTCACCGAGAAATTCTTTACTTTTGCTCCCATATTTTCCCTTCTTTTTTGTTCCATTTTCAGACCATTAGTGGTACTTATGGTAAATGTCATAACATACGAAATACCATTAGACTGTCACGACAAAAATCCCTGTTTTTCTTTCTAACAAGATTTATGTATATATGTGCCTATTAGTCATTTACGAACTATTAACATGCGAAACGGAGAGAAACTCCTTAATTGCCCCTAGTTGCTTGCGGAATACCTAAAACAAAACTGCCCATTAATTTTGGAAATGTTGAGGGTCAAAAATAAAAGCACTTGCACTGACCTTTAGAACATCATACATGCAATAATCCTAAGTCATTTAATTCCATTCCATATTCATTGAAGTAAATAAGGAAACTTAAAAGCAAAGTTGTTTCAGGGGTAATTCTCATTATTTAGCAATACTGCCAAAGCTGTTGGCTTTAATCCCAAGTTTAACATGAGGAGTGTCATTGAAGAAGCAGAAGACGCTCACTCTTCGGGAATACCTGGTAATATATTATTCTTGTATTTGTTTACGAGCCTCTACGTAAATATTTCTTAAGGAATTTGGATTGTGGTTCAGTTGACATCTTGGTATGTACATTTTCTTTGTTGATTTCATAACACACTCTTTATTATGAAATGAACGTTACATTTTGAAATAACAATTTTTTGTATGTTAAGTTTTCTGAAAGTATAAGCTAAACAAAAACACTTACCGTTGCGACAAGACTAACACAAATTGGATTTAACGAAAATGTGTTTTTAAAGCAATTATCAACTATGGTAATTTTCTATATAGTCTTTCGTTTGATTGTATTTTAGAATATATTTTTTCAACTAAACAAGTAGGATTTGTTTCTCGTGTAAATTACCTTGTGTTCACTGAAGACAATTGGTATAAGGGTGTGCTGCATCAGAATCCATAGTAAGTTCCGCAAGAGAAACGTAATGATTAATTGACAATGTATCTTGTTCCGTAGGCAGCGCAGACTCCTGAAATGAAAGTATTTGTTATTCATAAAGGTATAAAACATGTTTCCGAATGTTGAAATAAATGAAACGTGGTTTTTATTTATTGATGTTTTTTGTTTAGTTTTTGTTTGATTGTTTTCATTATTTTTCTTTTTTGCTATAGTTTGTTTCTTATTATTTTCTTTCGTTTTCGTTTTGTTTTTAATAATGTGATATAAAAATAATGAGTTGTTACAATTCGTAAAAATTAAGATGCGTCCAAGCGATATTGAAACGTGGACACATTACCAAACTTACAGAATGAACGTCAGATAAGTACCAAAGGACGACGTCAGAACTAAGATTCTATGGAAAAAGTATGATACAAGAGACAGATATATGAATAATAAAACAATGTCACTTATCCCCTGTAGAATACTGTCAATGCTTTACATTTCAGACAGATTTATGCTCAACTCTTAAATGTTTTTTCATGGAAATTATTGGGAGAAGAAATGTAAACGTTTTAAAAGATGCTTTAATGAGCTATTTACAAATCATACGTTCCAGCTTTTTGTCGGTTAATCATTTTGGTTATCAGCCATGAATGATATGTGTTACAAAAATGGATAAAGATGAAATGTTTTCAAATCAACTCGAGATGAGTCCTAGAATACATATACAGCACGTTTCTTAAGGTGCGAACTTAAATAGCAAAACATGATTCACATATGGATCAATAACAAATTGAGAACACTGATGACACTCACATATCTTACTTGCAGTTAAACCAGAATCAGACAATATGAGACGATGGATGGTATTGACTTGAAATGCATTGTACAGTTTATATACGAGAGTTCCGAGTAGCTAACACGTGGAAGGCTTATTACCTGTTCATTTCCGTCTTTTGAGCATAACGTTATCGATAGATCTGACAGCGGCACACACGTTTATCCCTGTCAGCGCTGTTCTGTTTAACTAAATCTTTATAAAGATTTCTCCTACGATAACAACACTTGATTTCGCAATGGTATAAATAAATAAGAAATGAAGAATATGCCAACTAAAATGCGAAAAATATTTAACCCGCGGAAATTTAATCTGTTCAATGTAACTCATAATAGTTGGGTGACGTTTGATAAACAAGTTGTTTCCAGGGAGACAAGAAACTTTGATAAATCACGTTAATATCACGTCAACCTTGCTGTTTATTAGCAATCAATAATGCTGTCTCTACGTACACTTGACATATATACAAATTAGCGGCGGCGACACTCAATGGCAATAAAAGATATGGCGTTTATGACGAGACAGATTCTGAATGATGACATACAATCTAATTTACATTTTACTTGAGAGAAACTTGCGAAGCATTACGTTAATGAATAGACGGTGTTCAGATTGGATGACAACACTGACCAGGAAATTCCGGAACCAGACAGGTCAATAAACCGGAACGTTCTAGTGAAATGAATTCAATCATTGCCATCCTTTGCAGAAAAAAGTATTTCGAACGGAAAATGTCGTCTGCATTCAGGAAGTGAGTAGTGTTCATTTTGACATTGTAAGAGTATATTTGCACACATTTCCCTTCAATAAGGACACGAGAATAATTCATATGTTTACTGCAGAAGGGCATGATATATGCTGATATAGATTTCGTGTCGATTAACAGAACGCTTAAAACGCCATTTCCGTATTTCAATGCTTGAATTCTCGCTTATTGCTTTTTTAAAATTTTGTTTAATTTCGAACTTATTCCAAAAACAAGATCTATTCTATCTTTCGACACCTCTTTCGTAGGTATATTTTACCATGTATTTGATATTAGTCTCTTTTCCTCGTGTGAAACGGCGTTGTGACGGCTATATACAAATTAAAACCAAAATTACAGAGGTTACAGAAAAAATCAGTTAAATACATTTTGTTTTTAAATTGACAATACTGCAAGCGAATTCAAATAAAAATAAAAGATAAATCTTATTTCCTTGTTCATTGCCTGCTATTTACAATACTATTTCACTCGTTGCCATGCTTATTGTCTTCGCTAAAAGGCCGTAAACATATGGTGCCATAATAAAGGGGTACTGCAACCGTTAAACGAAAAACATGGAAACCATATACGTATTCATAGAAGATCTCAATAGCGATAGGATAAACCATTGCCTTGGATACTTTTTGTCATTCTAGATTTATTCAGAGAAAAAGGTTTTCTCTCTTACGTTATTGCTTCATAGGTTAACAAGAATTAATATTGGAACCTGCGGAATGTATTGTGTTACTCACGCAGTTGATTTGAAAATATAAGGCAGAAGCAGAGGGTATTTATTGTTTGAAATGAAATTTAAAAGAGTTATGATAATGTAAGAGTAAAATATGAATAAAGCTGGTATCATACTGTTTATGCTTTAATTACCTGAAGTATAAAAAGATGAAAAGGGCAATACCAAGAGCAAGCGAGGAAATTATGAAACCTAGGTTGTAGATAATTCGTTTGGCATAGTCCGAATCCTGCTCCTGTAAGAAAATGCGAAAAATTGATATTATATACTGTAAAAATGATTTATTCGCGAGTAATTTATTTTCGTCAATTTCGTAGATAATATTTATTCACTCATACTGAGAACAAGTTAACCGTTAAAGTGGGCATATAATAGTAGATTTATTGAATACATTTCCCACGAAATCGAATGCCCACAAAATAGCAATATTTCGTTGAAACACGAAACTACAACCAATCAGAAATTTTAAATTCATAGCCAATATAGATTTCATTTGAATACATATTAGTATAGAGTATTTGAAAAATTGAGATGTTGGTTTGTTGGTATGAATACCTTACCTTGGAGGTCCAATCACTGATGGGGGGATTAGACAGCGCAGCGATACAGCTGTTGTAGTTTGCCAAGGCCTCCCAAGTACCGTTCGCGTAACAAAACTTACTGGCATTTTCTATAACAGAAACATGTAACATCAGACAAACTATATATTTAAGACCATGAACACGTTATCTTTTGTCTTAGTAAATTGGCAACTATACACGAAACCATATAATTTCATTTGCAGTTTTTATCGAAATTTGTCCCAGAATAAAATGACATATAATTTAAAAAATAAATGATTTTAGGAAACTGAAATAACTACCGTTCCCAAACCTGATGATACTAGAATGCAACATTGCAATGTTTTCTGGTAAGCGTCTATAATCATGATCTTCTATGATATACATAACAAAATGGCTGTGATAAAACATTGTCACAACAAAGCGAGGATTTTACACAAATCATCGACAAAATATTGCCTCTGGTAAGTGTTTTATATAACATTTAATCTAATTACTTTAGAGATATATATACACCAATTGACAGTGATGCCGCGATTACTGTTCATCTTTGCTAAATATGTTAAATGTTGTCTGTTGGATAAGTTTCAGGTTAAAATTATCAATGCAAATATGTTACGCATTGAATTTATATTGTATATTTATCAGGGATACAAGAAAGCAGCAAATGCGAATCCTATCAAAAATAAGAATAAAAAAAGTTTTTGATAAAAGATACCAGTCAGGTTAACGCTCAAAGTTCTGACTATGACATGTTTAAACATGCTGTTCATTAATGATACAATGATGTATTAAGGTAAATAAACAGCTGTAAATTTATAGCGAAGGCGTGGCACATTTCGCCTTTAGTCCCAGGTTACTGTGTAAATACATCACGCATCGTTAGTTTGCCTGATATTAGATAAGGAATATAACAAATGTAGGATACCTACATTATCTCCCTTTGGCCTTAATTAAAACAAGATTGTCAGTGATATTAAAAGACACTATCTGAGTCAGTTTTCTTCACCTATTGCCCCATGATCTATCAGAGTCATAATGCTATTCTTGTTGTAAGTTTGGCCTTCCTCACTGAACATTGTACGAAATACACTTAAGTGAATAGCACATTTCAATATAAGTTTAGACGTAGGTAGCATAGAGCCAAACGATGAATAAAAATGCATCATACAGCTTTTTCATCTGTCTAGGATTCGTCAGTGATGCTAAGGGCCTAAATGTTGAATCCAAGGAGACGAATGCGGAAAAAATAAAAGTGGTCAAAAGAGAAGTTCAATAAATTTCCTAATTTTCATTAGAAAGAAACCCGTAGCATCCTATTCAAAGTAACAACGCCGATGTAACCATACATCTTAAAACTAGACCTGAGGATGCGAATGGGCTTATTAAATGATTGCATTCCAGCTGTAGAAATTTTGAATGATGGATATCATTCAAGGGAAAAAGTGGCCGAGTTCGGTCATCGATGTAGAAGTTAAGAAAATTACAATGCTTTGTGAAGTTAATGTAGTTCACTGAACTTACAACACAAACTAACAAAAACCACGAGGTTTGAAAACAGTAAGTACGTACAGAAAGCTTGCTATCATTTTAATAATAAAAAAATAATTCAACTTATATGCCCATTAATGAACGCGACAAAGTGTCACTAACAGGACATTAAGACTCGCAGACCCCTACTTAGCACTAAATTATCAAAGATCCACTGATGAAAATACGACATAGACAAATAATTGAAGCCTTACACAAACAATCAGTGTCGGAGAAAGTTATCGGATCACGGTAAGATGGATGAGAGCTAAAGACTATGATTCCGGTCAGACAAAAATCTTTGATCCCGGTCATCAAGTAAGCTTAGTGTCATGCTTGTCTGGTCATCGAATTAGTACAGACGACAAATAATAATCCAATTCTATCGAACACTGCACACTAAGGTCAAACACAAAGAAAATCAGTAAACTAGCATTAACATCACCGAAAGCCAAAGTCCCCAATAGAGTACTCAAACCATATAATGTTTTCCCAAAGAGGAACAAATTTGCTCTGAATTCATGCATCATGCTCTTGCACTTTTCACTTTATTTTTGTAAAAATCTTCAGTTAGTAAATCTATACAGCAAAATCACATCTTTTTATTGTGCTCAATTTTCGTGGTTTCGCTAGAAACTTCTTTTTCATGGACATTTTCAAAAGTTTGTAAAGAATATTTTTTGTGGTAATCGCCCCTTTTTACATATGCATAATATAAACATAATCTTTCTCGCTCTCTGGGGAGCAAAGATTGTATAATATTCGGATGGCTGTAAAAGCATGTACACATTTCCAGTACTGCCTAAACAGGTACTTATCTACCGCACAGTAATGTATCCTGGTGTTCGTGCAGGGGGTTGAACTAGGGAATCTTACATCACAAGGCCAACCTCTACACTAACCCTAACCTTCTTTTAATTCTGTCATTGCAAGGCTGTATACGTAAGCTTCATATTTCTATGTTTAACTTACTTTCTGTGTTAGATTGATGACATTCGGTCCTTTAGTCACGACAAATCATTTGATGAAAAATTAACATTGAATCCAATTTATTCAATAATATATGAGTTAAATGAAAAGGATAACATTTAAAGTTTCTAAATACTCGTTCATTTTGGAAAAAGGAACGACATCATATCGTCCTTATGTGCTTCTTTCCCGAAAGGGATGAATGAACGACAACATCTACGTAAGAGATCGAGAATGATTACCGTTAATTCATTGCCTTGTAATTGGGCAAGCAATACCGTCCAGATATGAAAAGAATAATTCCTTTTGCCCTTTTCACCTCTGAAAGACTGCGTTCATTGCCCTTTCGAATTTGCCCTTTCATCAAAGTATTTCACTTTCCCCAATTTTAATAATTTTGCCCTCAGAGGACGGCATTTAATATTCTGCTTTTTGGCTCTTCCAATCTTCGTTCCTTTGTGTCCTAGATGAGATACGCAAATCAATCAGAAACGATACCAGGGAATCCAATACATCTTTAAACATAATGTAAAAATTGTTCGTAGATTCATTATAGTTAGAAGTTTGTAATTATATAAACATACACATATGCGATTATGTGAGTCTATAATTACAGCTGTGGGATCGCACAACATTACAGGACGTGATATATGCACGATGTGTGCATGATATGGATACTGAACGAAATTGGCCATCCACAATTGTGTGCACAGTGTGCAGTTCTATCGCTAAGATGTGCAATTATATGATAGTTCATATGAATTAAGGAATGGCTTATGAAGAAGTGTAGGATACGGTTTATTTATTGCCTAAGCATATAACACGTGTGTTAAACACGTTAGAAAAAAGGGTGTTTTGTGTTCAATGCGCCACACGCGACCAGTCTTAATGTACATGTACCAATCATGCATGTATATACATCATACATGTAAACATTAAATGGATTTTTTGTTTGTTTGGACATTATGATTTATCTTCATGTTGTGTTTGTTATACACGAGATCTAGCCGGTACGGTTCTATCACGTTCATACCCATATCAAGGTATGTTTGTTTCCCAAGGTAGACCACTCGCCACTTTCTGAGGTGTGAAATTATCACTTTATCAGACGATGTGCACACAATATATGTACGATATGTGTACAATGTACTTGGATTGACCAAAAACATTTATAACGTCATTCCAACGACACTCCAGTGTTAATCATACATCTATTAGACAAAAACGTTCTCAATTTTTCTAACTAAATCACAACACATTATATATATTTAAACAGTAAATATTCGATCTTATCGAAACCATCCACATAATCTTTTTAATAAAAAAAAATCTAAAAAGTGTCACATTGTGATAGTATTTTGACAAACTTCAAATAGACATGTGTTTGCGTATATTGCCTTTTTTGAAAGCCAATAACAGCTATGGTCCGTTGATTAATTAACATAAAAAGTTCCATCATATCAGACAATGTAATCATGTTATATTAGAAATAGAAATTGTAACCCATTTATAATGCACTAGCGGCACAAGAACCACATTTCCAACCTCTTCCAAAGCATAAATAAATTCAGTAGAATCTGCGTCACTGGCTTGTGTCTAGAGGGAGTCATGTTTGAATTGATGGTGGTGATGAATCATTATTTAAAAGCACCATATCAGTGAAAATAACAAATATACGACAAATATAACACGCGTATAGGACACAAATTTCCATCTTTATGAATTTGATGTCAGATAATTACGATCATCTTTCGTAAAGAATTGTGCTCAATCACCAGAAAATGTCAATTACGCTCTCACAAAAACTAATGTATCCGTCCAACAGATATAGTGACATTAATCTGAGATTTTATACTGCCACCTTTCTGTTATGTTTATGTTAATATTAAAAACATATAACTTCTGCGAACTGGTTGCAATTCTTTATTAGAGAATTTTCAACAATGTTTTTCGAATACGATAATCCTGACATGGCATTCCATTAACCTAATTAAAAAAATAGGGTGAACACAATGCGTAATGTTTCGTGAGCATTAAAAAGTGTAATGGACAACAATGACTTCATGACGAAAATTCAAATAATTAATGTACATGTGAATTAAAATTATGTAATAATAAAGTATACTTCCTATCTCTTTGCCAATGATGCGGGAACACTTAATGCAAAAGGTAACTAGTTTTCACAATAGAATTAAGTCATATGTCGAGGAATCGGGAAAATACTTACGTTTTGTCAAATGCTCTGCTATTTAAAAAAGATCACAATTTTTGTGCAAGAAGTCGTTAACTAACGGACGAACTCGTTAAACAACAAATTCTTTAAACAAAGTTTCAAATGCAGGTTGATGAAAATTATGGCAAAGTTTTATGGTCGACATTGTGATCTCATTGAGAAATTATCTTTTCCTTTGTGAGATATGAAGCTTGAGGTGATTGATGTCCCTTATTTTACTTCAAGGTTCCGTTGTATACTTTGTTCTCATTTGAGAACATGACATTACTTACTTGACCATTGTTTAAATTGCGGGTGCCATCTATGAATCAAAAGACGATTACTCTTCCGAGCACTTGGTCTTATTCTCCACGTTCTTTTTAAGAAGTCTCGGTGTTA